TATTGGCAAAATTGCAAGCGACTGTACATCAATAAGAAAATAAAATATATATATATCTAAAAAGCAAGAACTGAACCATTCACCAAGCAAATGCTGGATAGAAATGATACCATCTTTCAGCTCTATGTCCAGATACGAATAGACAACAATTACGATAAAAAATGAAGTCAGATCTTGTTAAGATCTATTACGGGCATTGGGATATTGGCGAAATTGCAAGCGATATCCTTGTAAGCGTACAAAAATATATATATTTATAAATAAAAAAGAAAAGACAGCCCCATCCATTTACTAGCATAGGCTGATTATGAACGACACCATTTACGCGGTAAATAAAAAACAATATTTTTTTAGGTGTACTACTTTTATAAGGATAATCGAAAATATAAGCAATGTTCTTATTGGCGTTAAAAATAAACTAAAAAGGCTTTGGTCCATCTTCCAGCAGAGGCTGGATGCAAATCAAAACCATTTATAAACGGGTTAAGAAATAAGAAACCAGGATTTATTAAAACATACTAAGTGTAATGGGATATGGGCAAGCGATATCCTTGCTGGAATCCGAATAATATTTAAAAAAAAAAGGAATCAAAAAAGGCAAAAACGAAAAAGGAGAAAAATAAAAAGTATTTGATTCGTCTTTCAGCAGATGCCGGAGACGAATGAGCTAAACGCTTGCAGTCAGAGCTATTTATAGTCGCTCGAAAACACGTTATCGATTAGTTTTACGAGCAATCGAAGTATCGATTGCAAAACGCAAAGCAACTCTACAAATCTACGTCAACCCATGTTTCTGTTAAATAAAATTGCAAGGGCAAACTGACTTGTGTGGGAAATTGAAACAACATTCGCTTAGATTTGTATGAAAGCGAATGTGGCAGGGTATATTATCTGACTGAGAAACAATTTCCACTTCAATAAACATCGATAGCTTAGTGGGACTTCATCTGAAATATATTATGCTGTTTCAGACAGGCGCCTACTATTGCGCCTGTGGTTGGGATCTAAAGGGCGACAGTTGCCCATCCAGCAGAAGCGAGCAGCTCCAAGTGAGCTGTTGGATTGGTATGCCCAGGGGGCCATGCCTCCAAAACAGGATGAATTTTGCAGCACACGAGCTTCGTGCTCGTGTTTGTGTTTCTCTGGCCAATGATTGATTCACTTGGATCCACGCGGATCCGCTCTGATCAGATCAGAGCTTGCGCTTGTTGCAAGCAGCTCTTGCAACTTGCACGGGATGTGGCACCCGTCACATGCAACAAGTACTCGCATTGTTGTTGGTGTTGTGTGTGCGGCAACTCCAGTACGTTTATCTGTGCGGCTTGTGAATTGTGCGCTTCTGCATGACTCGAACGGTGGCAACTGCCTCGTGTGGCGGCTGTTTGTCTTGTTGTCAGTTTGTTTTGCTTTTTTGTTTGTCTTCTTCTAGTTGTTGTTACTATTGTTGTTGTTGTCGCTGAAGTTGTTAAGAAATTGTTTTGTTTGGCTTGGACTTTCACGGCAGTCACCCGAGGTCTGCGCTGATGAACTGATTGAATAAATAAATGAATGCCCGATGCATGTGCATATGAATGATGAATGCTCGGCCATGTGAGTGGCTTATTTGCAAAGCGATTGTGTCTGACTGGGCAAAGCATTTGCAAAGCTTTATCGGGCTTGCTTATTATGATTATTTTTTTAAATTCGATGTATCTGGAATTTACTTGCGAAAGATGAAGATTTTTTTTGTTATTAAATGTTTTCGGCGGAAGCTTCTTGATCGTTGAACTTCCGCTCAGTGGGTCTCTCAGCCAGTACTAGGCCGGTAGATCGAGAGTTAAAGGTTTAGACAGTTTCTTTCACTTTTGCTTTCTTTTCCATTCGTGTGCGGAAAGTGAAAATCTATCAGCCCAAAAAACAAAGCGCTGATCGATTCTTAAAGCCCATTTAAATGTGAATGGCCACCTGACGACCATTAATGCGAAGACCTCGAACCAGCAACAGATCTTAACTATAGCTGCCAGCACCGTTAGACAGCGCTTAGTGTTAGCGGTGTTCTGCTTTTGATAACAAAGCCAACAAGTAAAAGTGTCGTGACCCCCCAAACGAGATGCCAAACTCTTGGCTAGACGCTCCAAGATGTCGCAAGACGGAGAAAACTACTATGAATCTTGTTCGTAATACATAAATATAATTTTCTATATATATAAAATAGCTTGTTTTGACTGACTGAGTGATTGAGTGCTTGATTGACTGGGCGATTAACTGATTGACTGGGCGATTAACTGACTGACTGATTGAGTGACTTACTAGCTTGCTGAGTGATTGATTTACTGATTGAGTGACTGAGTGGGTGATAAACTGATTGATTGATTGATTGACCGACTGACTTTTCAACTGTCTGATCAACCAACTGGCTAACTATCTCAATGATTGAGTCAGTGAATGAGTGATTGACTGAGTGACTAGCTGATTAACTGACTGACTGATTAAGTAATTTAGTAACTGGCTGACTGATTCACTAATTGACTGCTTGAGAGGCTTACTGAATTACTGATAAGCTGATAGACTGACTGATTGACCGAGTGAATAATGAACTGCTTGTTCCAGTAACTGATTGACTTACTGACTGGCGCACTGATTTATTACCGATTGACTGATTGAGTGACTTTCTAGATGGCTTTTGGTCGTAGCTATTTTTATATATTTACAAACAAAAACTCTCCAATGATGGAGAATATAGCTGAAACTTAGGTGAAAAAGTGATGTATTAAATGAAAAGGCAAAAACATCGCCCGGGCAAAGCCGGAAAACACCTGCTCATACATAAATACCCCTGTATAGAAGTATAATTTGTACACATATTTATGTATATTTTGTGAGCAGTAATCAACAAGCGGCAAAACTTGTAGAACTTTTGCATGCTGCTCAACTCAGGCGTGACTTTGATTCCTCAACAGACTTTGCCCAGAAGCAGACCCTCAGTTAGCTAGTCAGTCAGTTAGTTTGTTAGTCAATTCAATGAGCAGTCAGTGCTCAAGTGGGCAGTTGGTGCGTTCCCATTGACTGAGCTGGCGCGGAGTTAGGAGTAGCTATCGCTTGGTCTTGGGCCGATTTCGCGCCTTGCTCATTAACAGGCCTCCCCCCCAAATGAAATACTGTTTCCTCTGGCCCCATTCATGCTGGGGCGTGAGTCATGCTCAAGCAGCGTAAAGAGTTTTCGTGATTTCTGGTTCAATGGCTCCCAACTCTTCCATAGGCTTATAGCTCCAGCTTATAGCTTCGGTGAATGTCACCGCCCGTATTTTGGAACCTGACGAAACCTTCGCATTGTATCTGTACCATCATCATCCTCTATTTTTTGTATATAACTTTTATTTTTGGCGGTCCTCGACCTTCGCCGAGTGTCGCATGTGCTTTGAATAGCTTTAATTACATAATCGTTCGCTCATCTTTTGGTTTGTAATAAAGTCAGAGCTCAAATTGAAATGGAAATGAAAATGAAAATGTCAAAGATGACGTCCATTAGTTGGCCTGACTTTAGGCCAATCCGTTGACACTTGGGGCCTGCAATTAAGGTCTCGCCATCTGGGTGCCAAACAAGTTTCAGAGTTGGAGTTGGCCCATAAGCATGTGGCTTAGAAAGGCGGCCAGGCCATAAACATTTGCCGAATGCGCTTATAATGCAAATATCTATAACAAAGTCTATTGTAAGATATCTGTTTTGACTGCGACTGCTCTACCGCATTTCACGCATCTCTATTATCTATATTCAAATTGACTTCAATCGAAGGTTGTCGCAGAAATCGACCAAAACAATCACAGACATGCTTGTGACATACATTATATATACGTACATATATGTATAGATGTATGCAGAGGAACATATATATATATATATATGTCGTATGTTTTCCTAGAGAAAAAACAAACCATGCATAGTTTTTGACAAGGAAGTCTATTTCAAAATATTATATATAATATTTTAATCATTATTTTTCATTATATGCAATATAATACATATGTACGATTTAACCTATAGAACATGCAACTATGGTGTTTTCATTATAATACATTATTGGATGGCGATCGTTTCAATGAGCAGCCGCTGTCAATTAGCTGAGAATAGAACTGTGAACTCGCAGTTTTGAATGAGGCATGCAACATAGACAACAACAGCAACAACTATTTTAATCGGCCCCGGCGGCGTCGGCGGCGGCGGCCCCCAAAGCTGAGCTGCTGCTGTTGTTTTTGTTATTGTTGTTATTATTGTTGACGCGTGCGCAGCCAAGTGAAACATTTGAAATGAGCGCCGCGAGGGCTGCGCAGTCAGTTGGCAGTCGGCAATCGGCAGCGCAGTCGCTGCGACCTGGTGACATGGCAGCAAGCGTGAAAAATAAATAAATAACAATAAAAGCGCACAAAATGCGATAGATGTCAAGGGGTGCGGGGCCTTTGTGTATGTGTCTACCAATGTTGAGCAAACACCAAAAACAACAACAACAAAAAATAAACAACAGCAGCAGCAACAAAATGTTGCGCTTACATACACTTAATCATCGCAACAGCGTCGACAGCGACGTCGACGTCGACATCACGGCTTTGCATAGGGCGCACGCTCAACCCTCTGCCTGGCGTCGCGCACTCGCTGCCTGGGCTTTGGGAATCGGAGTTGCCGTCGGCGTCGCCGTTGCCGTCGCTGTCGGAGTTAGTTTTGGGTTTTTGACCAGCAGCATTTGCGGCGACGGCGTCACGGCGCGCAGACGTCGGACGGCAAAAACGGAAACCGGAAAGCGGCGACGACGGCGAATATTAAAAAGCAATCAGCAAATTGCGCCAACAAACAGAACCCAGCGAATGTGAACCCGTTCCCCGCGCCCCGACCCCCAAAAGCGGGTGAAAATATTAACAAGAACGCCAAGCAAAACGAGAACGCGAATGCGAACTCGAACGCGAACGGAAAGTGAACTTCGAGTCCAACTCCAGCTCCAGTTGCAACTCGAACAGCAAGTACGAGCTCGAGCGCGAGCGCGAACATGCCCAGCCGCGGGGCACTGTCTACGGGTCTGTCGGCGCGACCGGTCATCGTTTGGAACGGCGCTCAGTATACGGCGAGCAGCAGGGAATTGGAGCTGGAGCTGCTGCGACGCGACTACGGCTTGGATGAGCGCATGCTGGAGGCGACGCTGGTGCCGCGCTATAAACGCCACAAGCCTCAAGCCAGCGCCAAGAACGCGCACGTGCGACACACAAGCTCCGCCGGTATCTCGACGACCAACAACAACTCCAGCAGCAGCCCTGCCTCAGACTGGATATTGCGGCAGGGCAACAGCAGCGTTGCCCAAATCAATTTTCATCCCTGGACCGAGCTGGGCGAACGCAAATTCTCGCATTTCGATCTGGTGCCCTGGCGGCGCACGCGCAGCGCCTTGGACTTAAGCTCTGCCGCGGATTACAGCGGACACAGCAACGACATCGCTGAGAAGTCGCTGCGCGGCCTCGAGAAGCTCGAGCTGCGCCACAATCGGCGGCGCCTGCAGCGCGCGAGGTCCACGCAACAGGGGCTGCGGCGCCAGGTGCGCGTCCGCCTCATATTCTCCATTGAGCTGCGGCACAAGCGCATGGAGCTGCTGCGCCAGAGCGCGCTGCCAATGCGCGTCTTCGAGCAGCGCTTCGCGCTCAGCGAAAATGAGAGCGCCGCCTACGAGCGCATCCTGCTTGATGCCAATGCTGGCGTCGAGCAGCATGTCGGCTACTTCAGCAGGCGCCATGCTTGCCAGACAGATGCGGCGCCAGACGACGAGCAGCTGGTGGTGGACTTCGCCAGCGAAACTGACGCCGAGGAGCTGGAGGCCGAGGCTCAATACGCTACCATAACGAATGCCCCAGAACGTGATAAGAAAAGCGAAACGTCCGAAACGTCAGTTGCAACAGCCACAGATCAACTCAGCAAAGGATCCCCGGGAGCAGCCAATGCAGCGCCAGTCGCTGAAGTGCCATGCGTCAAGTGTCGCGATGTTGCCATCAAATTGAGGTAAAAGTCAAACATATCCTGTATTGCCTATACGCGAGGTCAACCGAGTATCCATCTGCAATTATGAGACAGCAAAACTGCGTGCTTTAAGCATATCCTGCAAAAGTGATAAGTGTGTGTGACAGACAATACTAATTGACCTTATCGATTTTCTTAATATTTGCAATGCAGAAAATTTATTGTATTTTTGCGCGATTTGAACCGCTGATTGTGGTTCAACGTTCAGGTACATAGGCTAGCCAGGCATCGGATATAGCTATGGCTAAGCACACGAATATTTTCATGCCTGTGTTCTAGTTAAATAGTTTTGGAGAATATGCTTATACGATTTTTCGAAATCTCATTACAGGGTATTCGGCTAGGCTTGAGTTACTGTAAGCCCAGCTAGAGGGTAACCTGATAGGATTAAGTTACTCGAAACTAACTTACAGTGTATCCTAAAAGGTTTAATTTAAGGGAAATCCATTTACAGGGTATCCTTCATGGCTTTAGTTACTTCACAGCTATTTACAGGGTATCCTACTACATTTAACTTGCTCGAACCCTGGCGATTGAGTTTATTTAAATCTAAGCATGGGTATTATACTAGTCTACAGACCTAATTACAGGGTATCCTGTTCGTTGTATATTTTTGAGTGCAGCATTCGTGACTTTTAAAAATGATTTAGGTTTTTGTAATTTTGTTGCTTTGTTTTCTAACACATTTTCGTACATTTGGCTGACCAAGTGGCCCGGTTCTGTGTGGCCAAATTGCGTTCTTAACTGTGCACCTGTGCCCGCCCTCTTGTGGCACCTGCTACAAGCGTCTCGTTTCGACAAACTAATTCAAAAGTGTTGACGCAATAAAGTGAAAGAAAGTGGCTGTGGCAGTAACATTAGTTTAGTTTCTTTTTTCGTTTAGCTGAGACACAGAAACAACAACAACAACAGCAACAGCAACACATTCGGTTTCGTTTTTCGGCTCGTCTTTTGTCTCTGGGCCAGCACTCAGTTAATTTGTTGCCTTCTGCTGTTTACTATGTGAAGAGTCAAGTTTATGACCCCTGCTCGAATTTTCCTGCCCTCGGTGGCGGAAGTGGCGCCCAATTCCGCTTGGGCTTGCCCAGGGGCAAGTGCTGTTGCAATGACTCAGCGCGCTCGCCCATTGCCCAGAGTCGACTCCGTTAGCCCTCGTTTGTCCGCAAAGGCGGTCAAATTTACTAAGCTAAAATTCAATGTTTTCGACAACTTTCGGCTGTATTTTCATCATGGCTCGCCTTGGGAATCGTATGGAAAAAAATAGACTCTTGAATATGTTGCGTGCTTATTGGCATTAAGTTTGTGTCTTAAGTCTTTCGTTTGCCGCTGCAAAGGCTGCTACAAAATTTACTTGTATGCTGTTAATGCGCTTTTCAAAAGTATGCAATGAATGATAACGAGTATTTTTGCAGCCTATTATCGACTTTACCTGAAGTGGTAAATCGTTGCGTTCCATAGAAAATATGTTCAATTTGTTTAATGAATGCGTAGTGGAAACTTTTGTAAGAAACGCTTTTGTTTACCAACTGATTGGTTTGAAATTTTATTCAATGATCTGTGCGAAAATAAGTTGCAGGCGTGTTTCACGACTTCTGGAAAATTCACTCTTCACAGTGATAAATTGGTCTTAAAGTTTATATGGGAGAAAGTTCAAGTTTCCTTTGATTAACTTCACAGTTTCTTTCAAAGCTCTGTCTTAATTCAATGCGCAGTTATGCGAACTGAAATGCTTATCGATGATTCATTTGTCTATTAGAGAGTAACAAATGGAGACATTTACGATAGTTATCAATCAAGAAGCATAATTAATAATTAATATTTTATATTTTTAGGTAAAAGTAAAGTAAATTGATAGTATATATACAGATTTTTGCATAGACACGCTTCTTTAAAGGTTGCTCAGCTTGAAATGAAAGCCATTATTCTTATATAATTCAAGGATCTGGCAGTAAATGCAAAGCAAAATATACCAAAGACTGAAATAAATGAACTATAGTTTTCGCTAGTATGTCGACTTATTGCTTAGTCAGACTATTAATTTGATTTACTCTCTTGCAGAACGATCAACGACTATGCGCTAAGCTCGAATCAGCAGCTAAAGCACAACAACTACCACAACAGCCACATTAATAGCAGCAAATACAACAACATTAAGCTGAACAAGCTGCACAACAACAGCCACAACAACAATAACAACAACAAGAGCAGAAGCAACCAGAATCTGAACAGAATGCATGCCCATCAGCTGGACTCGTATCTGGCGGGCATGCCCATCGGCATGAACATGCCCAGCCCAATGCATCCGGGGACAATTTCTGGCAACGAAAGGCCCAATGGAGGCGCATTGGCATTACATTATGCAGCGGCCAGGGGCTGCCTGGACTGTGTTCAGCTGCTTGTGGCCGCATCTGTAGACATTTGGTAAGTCACTCTGAGCCGCAAATGGCCAATTTCTGTTAACTGGGCGAAGAATTAAAAGCAAAAGTCGCACAGCTACTCCGATTCCGACTTCGTGTGCCCGTTGACTGGGGTGAAAGCTTTGTTCTTTATCGTTTAAGCAGCAATTGGGGCTGCTTGGCGATTGCGGCAGCGGTTGGGTAAGGGGGCGGCTGCTACGGAAAAGTCGGCCACACCGTGGAACGGTGCTTATTTAAATGATTGCGACAAGTGTTGACGCCAAAACGGAATCGGAGCTATCGCAATGCCAACTTCTCTCCCCACTTAGCTGGCTGCTGTCGGCTTTGTCGTGATTTGCGGCCCACTAATGCAATTTTATGGCATTCACTTGCCCCATTTCATTAGCGTATTGCCAACTGTTGACATTTATCCCCCCCTCCCCCCCCCCCCCCCCCCCCTCTCACTCTCTCTATATCTTGCTTGGCTACTAGCATAAAATTGAACACTCAAACGAAGCTAACTTCATTTATACTCCATTAGCCTTACTGATAAGCCAATTATTCGAAACAACTTACATTTTGCTGACATTTTTATTTTATTATTGTATTAATTATTAATACTAAGCATGTCCGTTAGAATCAGCCTTATGTATTTTTTTATTAATGTATTCTCAAAATCTGGAAAATCTAAAAATTCAACTATAGAAATCAACCTTATGAGAAGTTATCAGACATTGTTTAAACTGTCCGCCCCATAAGGCATAAAAGCTCTCTAAGCAGATGAATACATTGGTGTTCACTGCTTAAGAGCTTTGCTAATAATTCGCAAATGGTTTTAACGCTAGCTTAGTATTGATGCGATGATGATCGCTGCAGCTGCTGGCTCGACTGCTGGCTGATCGTTTTACCAGTTGATTTTGTGGCTATCATCAAAATGTCACATTTCTCAATTAGCCAGCTAAATCTCTCCCCATCTAAAGCACTATCCAAGCCAATCTTGGCGTTGTACCTGGCCAAGCAGCTAGCATAGGCGACGACTGCTCGACGACTCGATCGATTGTAGAATACACATATAGTCAAGACATCGGCCAAGGCAATTAAATGCGGTGATTTAAACTGAAGAGCTCATAATTAGAGCTGCATACAATGGGAGTACAAGACGCAATTGGACCCAAATGGAACACATGCAATCGCTGCTGGATGCATGACCGATCAAGATCGCTTTCCAGCTGCTGCCCACCTGCTGCCGTTGCTGCTACTGATGCTGCTGCTGCTCAACTTTGGTCAGCGTTCACCTAAATACCGCCGTGAAGCACGCGTTCTAAACGTTGATTCATTAAAACCAGCCACAAGCGGTCCACTGGCCAAGGCGAGCCGGCCAGCTAGCTAGTTTGTCCGGCTAACCAGATATTCAGCCGAGCATCCAGGCGTGCTATTTTAATTCTTTGCCATCCAACTGGATGCCAGCAGGAGTGAATGAGACAATCTTAAAGAGAAAGAAAGAGAGAGAGAGAGACAGAGAGAGAGAGGGAGAAGCACAAATACAAAGCACCGTTGCAACTAGTTGGCAATTGCATGTGGAGCAGCAAGCACAAGGAGTCCAACTGCTTGGCCTCATCTTTCTGGTCTGGTTTGGCCTGATCAGCTCTGTTGAGCTCTGGTCGTCTGGTCGGTTTCGGGCTGCTTGGATTCTCTTCCAGAATTCATATTTATTAAACACGCCAGTTCAATTGGCATGACAACTGACACAGCGGCACACATGATAGCAGACAGAGCTGGAAAACAACAAATATAACAACAACAACAAGAACAACAACAACAACAATCGCTATGAATATCATTCCGTCTACGAGGGCTGGTCAAGAATTGATTAATCATGTACTCCAAATCCGTGTTGATCTCCTATAAATTCATTGACTCTGATAATGCAAAGTATTTGGAAAGGGTTGTAGTTGACGTTACAAGAAAGGGAGCGACGCGCAGCTAATTTCAGATAATTTATTAAATGTTGCACTTCAAAAAATTGAATCTGTTGGGCGCCCAAAGTTAAAATATGTTACTTTTCGAATGTCACGGGTTGCGGCAAAGGCCCAGGTATAAACATAATTAAAATTATTTTGAATGCTACCTTAAGCTGCTCTTTCGACTAAAGAGTGGAATCTATACTCCTGTAAAGCCGTATATTTCGTATATTTATGATGAGCTGCTGATGTGATGGACCAAAGAATATTCAATAAATAAATTGAATAAATGGGGAATAGAGAAAGATTTCCCATTTGTTTGCGCTAGTATTTATGTTTAACTCCATCGGGTACAACGCGCTTAGGCTTGTTGTCTGGCAACCCACGCTGAGGCGGTTCGCATTAGAAACACGCATTGGATAATATCATATACAAAACATTTGATGATCGCCCCGGCTACGGCTTTGGCTCTGGCTCCGGCTGTGGCTGTAGCCAAGAAAACGCTTGTGGCAAAGCGGGTTTCTAAGCTTCTTGGCGGCCGTTGCCGTTGCTGCTGCTGCTGCTGCTGTTGTTGCTGCTGCTGCTGTTGCTGCTGCTGCTGATGTTGTCGCTGGGTTGCTGTTGGCTGGCCGCTGGCCGCAGTGTCTTCTATTCGCGTTTGGTTACTCGAAGCGAACGGTGCTTTCGTCTGGCATCAGCTGCAGTGTTCGTGGTCGTCGTCTTTGAACGTTTGTGCTTTCCACTGGCAATGTTGTTACCGTTTGCCAAGCGCTGACCGATCGCACAACCGTTACCAGCAGCAGCAACAACAACAACAACAACAACAGCAAAAGCAGCAGCAACATGCGCCCATAGACGAATTTAAATTTTGAATCTGTTTGTGGTTGTGGTTGTTTGTGGCTTTAGCTAAGTCGATTTGCAGTTTAATGCTCAATGCAGTAATTGCCGTGGTAGTAGCGTTTGCCGTGCGGCCACGCCCCTCATGCCACCCGCCCACTCGATGCCGTTGAAAGTTTGCGCCGCGCCGCGCTGGTCAGCAAACAACAACAGCAAACAAAATTTCGCGCTTCAAAGTGTTTCGAATGCAGTTAACGAATCGGAACGCGAATTAATTAACAGTTTCAGTGTACCAAAGAACTGCAAGCCACAAAAGCAACCACAACAACAACAACAGCAACAACTACAACAACTAAATACAAGAAACAGTAGCAACAACCTGTGTGTGCTCAGGTTGCCGCATCCATAAGCCGCAACCATGAAAAGGTAGCCCCAGCGTCAGTTACAATAATCAATTGGCCAAGCGCTGAGCTGAGCTGAGCTGCCCCCCAAAAAAGCCAAAAGAGCCGAAGCATCAGTTGGATCTACACAGCAATTGTTGCTTTGTTTGCCCTTTAATATTTAGTTTTAGTCTATTTTTGTTTTGTTTTTTTTTACTTGTTGTGCTTCAACACAATGAGAGTGTGTGTGTGTGTGTGTTTGTGCAAATGAAGGGCAGCTACACAAAAATGAATAACAACAAAAATAAATAAAAACGAAAATGTGAAAAATATTAAGTGCATGGATTAAACGAACGAACGCGCGAAATATATAAAAATCAATTACATCTTAACTAAATTCTGGAGTATTCAAATATAAAATACTAATTATCAAATAATTCATTATTTATTTTAACATTTATAAACTGATAAAAACATGAGATATCATGGTAAAGGGTTATTTCTGAAATTTCAGAATAAAGGGGAACTCTTCAGCAGTCCAATGTCAGAAGTTTTAAGAAATCTTGCAGAATCTCTTATAAATAGAAGAAACAAATATTACTCTACTAAAAAAAAGGATGAAAAATATTTCAAAGTTAAAAGGTTCTAAGCTTACAAAGCAAATAAACAACATTAGTTTAAATATTAATAGGGAAGCAGGCGAAAAGGAGTTTTGTTTAGGTCAGTTTTAAAATGTTCAAAATGCAAGGTAGGCGAAATCAGATAGATATATGTGTGGGGTTTTATATTAAAAGTTTATTATAAACAAGTGTATTGTTGATTTAACAAATTGTATTGCTTAGGATGATTATCATTCGAATCAAAGTAACACGTCGTTTCGTCGTTTTGTTCTCAGCCTTCATACCACACAGGTCCAGCGTTGAACTTTTCGTCTTAACGAGCAAACATCTTCTGCTCTACGTCCAGTACGTTGCCCTCGTGGCTTTGCACTGTCCTCGTTGATCGTCGTTTTTGGATAACTCGCCGTCTGCGAATTCGCCGTCTTCTTTGCTCGTTGTTACGCGTCGTGTATTCGTCGTTCGTCTTTTAGCGTGTTCGTTGTCTAGGGATTCTTGTGCTGTTGGTTGTGCACAGTGGGATTTGGGTATACAGCATTTACCCAACCCACATTCGGCCATTCTGACTAAGCGTTCGGCCCGAATGCTTCCTCGTCATCTTCATCATCGCTGCCAATGGACCATGGCTTCATATATTCGGCACACGTTGCAGAATTCTTCGGCCCATCGCAATTACCTACTTTCTGGACATCATACGCGTTGTTATGCTTAATCTTAACGACTTGATAGGGCCCCAAAAACTTAGGCTTTAATTTTAGGCCTCTACCAAACTGTGTGCGTTTTATGGCAATAAGGTCGCCAACATTATAACGTCTTGCATGCTTTCGTCTCAAATTGTATGTATTTCTATTTTCATTTTGAATTTTTAAAATTTGTGTTTTTGCCTTTGCTCTTAATTCGGTTCGATCGTCATTAAATAAAGCTATTGTTTCTTTATTGATTATATCTCGAATCTTCCGATCTTCTTTTGTTTTCATTTTTACACCAACTAAAAGCTCAAAAGGTGTCGCATCAATACTTCTGGAAAATGTCGAATTAATTGCCTGCTGTACTTGGTTGATGTGTCTGTACCATTTTGTTGGGTCATCAATGCTCAATTTTGAGAGTACTGAAATAATTATAGCATTCAGCCTCTCGACTTGACCGTTCACTCTTGGTAGGCCTGTAGTTGTCTTAACTAGTTTTATGCCTTCGTCGTCACAGTATTTAACAAAATCTTGCGAAGTAAAG